CATCCTGACAACACAAGAACATCCTCCATTAGAATGACCACTGCCTTTTAGTTTGGCCTATCTTTCCTAATTATCTCTATACAAACTACAGAACAAAACAACATTTTATAAAAGGTAAATAAACACGAGATGAAGAAAAAAAAACTTTGTAGAGTATTGACTCTTAAAAAGTGCTCCAACATAGAGAATTTTTGTATTTTTGTAAGACCAAATTAAAAGACATAGCTCATTATATAATTTGATTGTCCATACATAAAGAAACATGAGATAAATTCCTCCTAAATAGTGTTAAGGAAATGATGTTTACCCATTTGAAATAATTTGGGAAGCCCCCCTTGATATGTCAATGGGAACTTTTGCTGGGTCTCTTAAGACTAAAGTTAGTGTCTAACTTTGCCTTCTCACAGTTGACTTATTATTTTTCAAATACTTAACTTTTAGGATGTCTTTTTAGGATATCTATAATTTATTTCATAACACTTTGGTATTCTCAGAATGATACTATATATGTGTCAGTTAGTGTAACCTTTAAACCTAGAAGCTGTCCAGGAATGCACACAACAGGGTGGTCAGTGGGTACTATATTCAAAACGGCCATATTCCAGAGGTGGCAATGCCCAAGTCCTTTTGATCTAGATAGATTTGTCCACACTCAACACTTTACTCATCAAACTGAATATAAAAGGTTGATCTTTATTGATGAACTAGTGTCTGGTTAATTATTATAGTGGGTGTAGTAATGAAAATAAAGGCTTAAGGATATGTGGATTAGCTAATATAGTTAAACACTTCTTATTCCTGATGTGACTATATGAAAGATTTCATTGAAGCCTATATCCAGCATGTCTTAGAGATGGCGCCCACAATTTTATTCCCAGTCATTCTGTGTCCAGACATTAGAGTAGGAGGATTTCTGATTGCATCATGGCGACTGAAGGGCCCAGAAGACTGCTTCTAAAGTGTTGCTATGTCTACCTCAAGTGAATGTTGCACACAACATGTGGTCAAAGTATCTAAAATGACAAAGATCTAGGATTTTCACTGAGCTTTTAAAACAGGTTTGTTCCTGATATGCTAATAAGTGTTTATCTAAAAAATATCTAACTGTGTGATAGAATCTGGACTTGACTTGCTTTCATTATAACCTGGTAGTGAAGTTGTGTGAGAGAAGCTATCTCTTAGCATTTCAAACTTCTTGGGTGGCTACTATTGTCTAACCAAAAAAAAAAAAAAGAGTTTTGCCAAATTTGGCTTTCATCAGTTAAAAAGCATATTATGAAGTCTTTATATGATAAATCATTTCAAAGTCTTTTAGAGAGAAGCAGATATATATTTTGTGATTAAGAAAACCATATTCTGAATATGTTTCCAAAATAATCTTTGTTTTCTGCAAAACAGTAAGACCAAAAAGAGTCTACACAGTTTAAAAAAAAATTGCACACTTCTTCACAAACATTTCAGTGATATAAGAACATCTTGGTTAAATTATACAAAGATATCAAAGGGCAATGACCCTTTATAAGAACGTTTGAAATATAATGACACAGGTTATCAGTAAATTTTATAAATGTATCTTGAGATACAAGAAATTGCATTTGATTCCTTACTTTGCTTCTAGCAACTGAATCTACAGCTTAAAGATTTGAATACCTCATTCTTTAAACAATGAATTTCAGCTTGTTTCTATCCTAACTCAAAAGAAATATTCAGTAGTGAGACAACTGAGTTAATTATATTTCAACAAGCAGTTCAGAGAAAGACCCCAATATGACACTTCAAAACTATTCTGGACATCAGCACCAAATACCTGTTTTCACACAAACTAGCCATGACAACTCTTTGAGGCAGTACCAAATAACCTGTTCATCAAGAAACTCTCCCACATGTTTCCATTTTTCCAAATGTGGAATACTAAAGCATCAATCAAAACTTACCAGGGAAGTCAAAGACAGGAATCTGATCAATTATAAAATGCCCACAGCAGCAATGAGGTCCTACACACTACCTAAATAAAATACTATACCAGTGAACAATATTTTACCTTTTTAAAATACTTTCCTGGAGGTTATACAGATCATAAGTTTATACAGATGATGCATTTTGTATTTTTTCTTTCTTTTTTTAAAAAAAATCACTAATCCCAAATATAGTCAGAAAGGTATAGCTTTCACATACTGCTATTTCACATATAAAATGAAGTAGGGTCAAGTTAATTCAATTCAGCACATCATGATAAAATAAATGATTATTTTCCCCAGCAAATTGATATTGTTAAGAATGACTAAAAATAGAATCCCAGTGTTCATATTTTTCCCTTCTAGTCATAACGATATAGCGAATTGTCCTAGGCTTGCAGAATCATCTACTCAAAGCCAATAAAGCAAAATTAACATAGCATAAGAGAAACCAGTAATTTCTCATTTTCTCATCATTACCACCACCTACCAAAAGCTCCTCCCCCACAAGCATCAGTAACTGTAGCAGCACAGATAAGCATAGGCTAACTGGAACAGAACTACTATGGTCTCAAAACCACATGGAATCTATAATTACCTGGGGAAACTATTTTTTTTTCCTAAGCCCATACCAGGCATTCTTTTGAATCAGAAATGAAAAGTAAAACTAGACTTGTCTTATCTTGCCTTTGATGTTCCTAATATTTGCAAATATCAAAAAGACATTTCCAAGAAAAAACAAGGACATTAAAAAGTTGGGAAAGGCAAAATGGCCAAGAATGTAATTTCTTAAGACTAGTTTCTGCATATTATTACCATGTAAACCTATACAATATTGTGGTCACTGGCTGCACGTAGCTGCTGAGCACTTAAAATGTAGCTAGTCTGAACTGAGATGTATTGGAAGTATAAAATAAATATCAATTCTGAAGACTTAATAAAAATATTATAAAATATTGTATTAGCATTTAAAAATATGAATTATATGTTGAAATGGTCATCTCTTGGATATACTGAGTTACATATACTTTTAAAATTAATTTCACCTGTCTTTTTTTACTTTTTAATGTGGCTAATAAAATAATTGCATATGTAATGGGCCTTTGTGGCTTACATTATATATCTATTGGACAGGAATGATTTAGACAATAATCACTGTAATATGTAATAAACCTTGTGAAAAATTCTACCATTTGACTATTTGGCTTAGAACTTGTAAAAACTTTGCCATAAGGCATGAAACAGCCTTAAAAGCACATTTCCTACTGAAGATCAGGTAGTTTTCCATATTGTAATGAGTGTTTGGAGGGTAAACAAAGACAGGAAAGGGGGGCTTTGGTGAAAAAAACAAAAACAAAAAACAAAAAACTTAAACTATGGGCTTTAGCTAACTCTAGCTTGATTTTTTTCTGATTCCCAGACCCAATAAATAATTTCTACTTCAGAGGAAAAGCTCTCCTCTTCTGCACAGAGTTTCAAGGACAAACAGTTTAAGAACTGTGAATAGATATTAAGAAGTAAATGAGCCTTTCTATGGGATCTGAAGCCCTGCCCAGGTAAAAGCCAAAAAGGTAAGGGTGAGATAAGTAATTTAGTAATTCCTTAGGGTTTACAATCCCATCTTCTCTCCATCTCTACTTAACTTCCCTTCACTTCCCTTTTCCTTCCCAGCTTGTGCCAATGTTTATCCCTACTTTCCCCACTGTTGGTTATTTGTACATTTCTTTCTCCTCTCCTAATTTCAGCTGGCATCTAACTCAACCTTTGTTCTTTCTCCTTTCTTCCTGTTTTCCTTTTCCCCATTTATATATATTTTTAAATTTATGTTACATAGTCATAAATAGGAAAAAACAGAACATTCAAATACATGAAAGTTCTTTTTACTTCCACAGGGCTCTTTATTGGGTTGTTAATTGTTTTTGTTTGGTCCTTCAGGGTTAGTGACCTCCCCCTTGGGCTTTCCCCTGCCCAAGACCAATATGATTCAAGAACAAAGCTTCATTAGAATCACCTAAGCAGATTCCTAGGTCCTAACTACCCAGATCCAAAATCAGATTCCTTCGGTGGTAATCAGCAGTCTTCGGAGCACGGGTTAGCAAAATTAGACTATCCATATCTTTGACGTTGATATATGTCCTACAAATATCTAATCTATCAAGAGAACCTACTGAAAAGTACATTAATTTTTTTTAAATGACATCTTCTGGAGGAAAAAAAGGTTCAATTATTGGTTTTGGTATTTGACAATAAAAAAGTTGAGAAAACAACAGGCTGGGATTAATCAACAAAAGTTATCAAAGCAATGTTTACCAGAATTCCTTTGAGATTGGGGTAAATTAATTTAAGACTGCTAGTATGGGTTTCTTACAATGCATTCAGAGTAGTTTAGTAAAGAAAACTGACAGCCATTGCTGGAAAAAACATGGTCATCCAACTGAATCCAATTTGTATGAATAGGACCTATGCATCTACATTCTGCTCAAAGTGACTGTGCAGGTAAAGACCCGCAATGCTGGTTCAGTACCAAAATGTTTTCTGGTGAAGTAAAAGTTTTTGAAAAGCATAAAATCTATTGTTGCTTTTACCTAGTACTCTCTTCAGTTATTGCCAACAGACAACTTTGGGGTAGATTTTCATGATCTCTGTTATACTTGTAAGCAATTTATAGTTGACTATTAGGAATCAGTGTGTTAATAAAGTAGACCAAAACACAGGCAATTCTATTTACAATTAGGATAATGAATCAAAATTTGTTCTTTTGATGTTCCAAGGCTTTGAACTCATAAAGCTTTGATATAATGTTTAATAAACATATCTTTACTATTATAAATAGCCTCTCAAACCCCAGGAAGTTAAGCCAAAGGAATGTATTTCTGGTCTAGATTAGGCAATACTTTTATTTAGAAACTAATGAAATAATTTTATTTTTAAAAATAATTTTTGTCAGAAGTTCTCCATTTTATCTAGAATGTTTAGATTATCAATAATCAGCTTTATGTCAAAACATAAACACACAAATAGAATCAGAATAATTACCAGTCATACCTTATTATGTGTCTGAGTCTGTCCAACCAGTATGAGGATGTTGGATGAGATGATAGACAGGCAGAAGTTAATTAGAATTATAGACCTCTCAGAGCGTATGTACCTAGCCAGGGAGAGAGAGAGAGTGTCCAACTTTAAAATTCAGCAGAAAGATGAAGAATTCCATATCATGCAAATTGGTGAAAGTCATTCAGAAAAGGAAACACTAAAATATATCCTTTATAGAAGAAAATGTAGCAAAAATGTTTTTTTAAATAAAGATTATTCTTAGAGACCCAATTTTATAGTGACATGGCATGTCCTAGAGTCCTGTAATTTTATTTTCTTTAGACGTTTGTATGGACAACATGGCATTTCTGACAGACTTGAAGTTGTATCTGCTATCAATATAATTTTTTTTACTAAAAATATAAAATTTCTTGGAAATATATCAATTACTATAATTACCATTATGCATATGTATATATATTATCAGATAAAATCAATAGAAACCAAAAGGAAAAACCCCACACAGATTCTCAAGTATCCCCTTGTATACTAGAAAGTAACCATTACTTTCATGAAACCATGAACACTTATCCACCATTTCATACACTCTAATATTTTATATAGTTTGTTACTCTTTATATTTTTCTTTTCCTTAACTAACTGCTCCAAAAAAAAAAAAAAGAAAGAAAAAGACAAGAAAATGAATCTTCATCTCCAAAAAGTAGTCCAATCCACAAATGATAATTTGCCATTAGGCCGGAAAATTACTTGGTGATTTATACCAGTGATATTTTACCCTTATGAAGAAGTGTTTACATACAGTCTGCTACAGAACTTTTAAGTGCATCAAGGATGTAAGCCATAGAGGAAACTGCTCAGAATCAAAAGTTCTACCAGCTGTTTACCCTAAAAGGGTAATGGTTATTTTGCTTTACTGTACCCAGTGGTAAATCACTTAGTGACAGTAACAAAAAAGACATACTTGTACTTGCTGTGTATTTGAGGCTGTTCAATTTGTATTAGTACATGGAATCATTTTCCACAGCAAGTATGGGTTTACTGTGCAGGGTTAGGTAGGGTGCCAGAGATCTGGAGGCACTCTTTGGAAAATAAAATCTATCAAAGTTCTTTCTCTATCTCTGTCTTTGAGGAATATTTAGTCAGAAGCCCCACATTCCATCACACATTTCAAAAGAGAACACAAAACAAAAACAGGAGTAATAATAAAATACAAAAAGCAATTTTTTAGTGTAAAAAAATTTCCTTTCTTCACAAAACAAACCCAAACAGAAATAACTTAGGTCAATTCTCAATACAAAATGCCCTCAAGAGTTGCTTAACCTTGTCCCTGCATCATCAATATCTAAAAATATAATAAACCACACACTGGGAAACTAAAGACATCATCAAATATTAAGTTGTTTCTTCTTTTGTGAGTGGGAGATGTAACATAAAAAGTTTAAGGGCTGCACAAAATTGACCCTTTATATGATGTTAATGGCTTCATGACAGCACAAGCACACAGATGACATTATTAAAAGGGTTTCAGTGATATCATTTGCTCTGTAAGTAGGAAAATCATGGTGATAAAAAACCCAGACTGACCACCCTGAAGAGTTTTTAGATATTCCTATTATTCATCAATACTGAGTCACATTATTGCCTTAAAATTTTCTATAAAACGTCTCAACTTCCAAAACTTTTTATAAATATATTTGAGGTTTTAAACAAAATTTGTAAATGCATCATTTCAATATATAAATTAAAAAGATATGTTCAGTTGCTCTTTGATGTAAATACTCTACAGAACATTATTTGTAGATGAAGAGAACATACCTTAGTATATTAATTTTTTGATGAACATTTCTAATGAACTATAAGGGACACCAACAATTTTTAAAACACTACGTTATATATAAAATAATTCTGATGTTCATACATTTTATAAATCATTAAAAATTTTTAAATTTAAACGTTTTAATTAGAAAAAAAGGCAGCAGGATCCTAACATGAGTATTACCATATGGTAATACCATACAGTAATATTATAAGGTAAACTTAATGTTTATAACATTCATTAAATTTGTCATGCTACAGGATTCACTTAATAATTTAGGAATCTTGGAACTTCTATAAAATTATTAATACTACTTCAATTTTTCCATTTTTAGACAATGAATTGATTAGCCACTAAAGTTAGGAATCAAAATTTATGTTGTTTCTTGGTACTCTCTTCTACACTTCTCAGTTTCATGTCAAGTACTAATAGATCCTTCCAGGTGATCACTAATAGGTGATTTCCTTGGATCTTCTGGATTAAAGAAAACTTTATTATGGACAAATTAATCTTGTGCTTCTTTATGTATCATTTATACTGGCAATGTTTGTGCTAATGTTAGCTATAGGTATTGAGAGGTGAAAAGAAGGTGGAATTGGTGCCTGAACCCAAGTACTGAGAAATGGAACTTAGTTCTAATTACTTCACTGAGTATGAAGTATGACACTGTTGAGATCGCCTGAAGTCTTGGCCCTTCAACACTGCCTCATTTTCCAAAAAGTGCCATTTAGGTAATTATGGGAGACAAAGTGGTCTTCTTCCCAGCCTTTGTCCATCTTGCTCTTCCATTCCCAGGGCAATGTCTGATTGATTAAGCCCTGAAGCTTGGATTCTATTGTCTATAATGCCATGCCTAGACCAAACATTTCTTTCATTCCATGGGATTGACCATATTTTATCAGATTTTCTCACTCTGTCAGTGTTTTACTACCAGATAACTCCTTCCCAGGAAAGCAGAAACTTTATTATGTATCTGTGTCAATGGAACAAGAATGTGTACATATTTTTGTTTGAAGTATGAAAATTTTAATATTGTTGACAATTTAATATCCTGGACAATTAATTCTTATCCTCAAAAGAGTGAAAAATATAATGGACAACATTTTTTTGGAAAGGATGTTAAATCAAATGACCTTTCTTTATTAAATTATAATTAGTTCTTCAACTGAATTGTTTTTTAACATAAGTAACAGTAAAACACAAGGACTAGCTACTTTTGCAATTTTAATATTGCAAATATTCAGGAAATAATGTACAATTGTCTACTTACTCATATAATAACCATTTTTGGAACATTTTTAATAATCAAGATGAATATAGAAATGTTTTACACTTAACATTTTTTAAATTTGTTAGGAAGTTTGGCCATTTGGTTATGTGCTGTTTATCAATATGTGAGTAGACATAATAAAATGTCTAAAATATACTAATTATTATTAATAGAAGAAATAGAAGAAATGAATAGAAGAAATCTTAGAGAAATACTAAATTTACATGTACTATTAAGCTGCTGCAATTTCAAATATTGTAGAACAAAGTTTTTCAATCACATCCACTTATTTATGTATTTTTTACTTCTTTTAACCAATTTGTCAAAATCTGACTTTTTGGAAACATTCAAGAAAGAGGACTTTCCTATAGCATTGTGGTATTATGTTAATGCATTAATAGTATAGAAGATTTACTCATTGTCTGGGATATACTGAAAGCATGTGTTTAAATTCTTAAGTTTAAAACTGAAAACTTAAGAATTTGGAGACCATATTTCTATTTGGAGGCCAGTAACAGAGAAATTACTTTAATTGTACCAATTAAATTCTCAAGCTCAATAGCAACTGCGATAAACAGAAACAAACACTGACTGAACTTGGGGGATAAGAATACCTGGTTGAGGGTAAGCAACTTGTTGAAAGCTACCATCATTTGAATTGGGAAGAAAAGTGTGTGTTTTGTTTATTTTCTCATCATAGGCAAATACAAGAAAATTAGGTAAGAATTTTATTATTATTATTATTAAGCTCATTTATTATAGTTCAATCACAGCAATTATAACTTTGTTCTAAAAATATTTATTTCAGTAAATTAAAAAGAAAGGAGACATAATGGTTATCATATTGCCAGATTTAATCTGAATAAGAGAACACTCCATTTCAAGTTCATTAATTGATTACATACCTCCATAATGCTGCATAGACAACTGCGAGGGTGATCAAGGCCAAGCAAGAAAGGCCACTGCCTACTATTAGGGTAACTGAAGGTGTACCAGAGGATTCCATGATCTGTAAATTAAACAAAAGAAACAAAAAAGAAGAGATTTTTTTTATAAATGAAAATAACTTCTAAACTCAGCAAAACTATACTAATACTCAAAAACAGCCAATAGAATTGTTACAATTACCAGATAATAACCCAGTAATCACTTTGTTCATATATTCTCAACCTCTAAAGTGACTAATTCTAGCTTCCCCCTCTCTCCCACTGTGAAGTAATAAAGGCCTTAGAGTTTTAAATGCTTGATTATGGCATATTACCCACTATGGCTTTCTACAACAAATACCTAAAACTAAAACTTGGTGAATATTCATATGTTAAATTTTCTCTAGCTGAAATTTGAAGCAGCATTCAGTTTTCTTCAACAACTATAGTTCAGTTATTTCATAGTATGCTTTTTGATAAAATTTACTTTGATCTTCCCATTTACAACTCATTGTTACCCCAACCTGATACCTAGATACTGAAAAATTTTCAAACTTTCTGACTTTTGACAACTTTGTTCTAAGTCAAGTATTCTCTTATTTAATTTCACTTGCCTGGCCTCTAAGGATATAGAAGAAAATCAAATTTCAAATGCAAGAACTTACAATATATTTTGTGGGGGGGTTTCTATTAACAAAATATGCAGAGATAATTTTCACAATACCAGTAAATACATGACCTTGACAAATAAGTCTTATATATTTTAAAACATATATAAAGATTATAAGCAGTCACTGACTTGAGAGGTTTCTTTCCTTAAGACACTAATATGATACTAACAAATGAAATCTTGTTTTTCTTATTTTTAATATTGGATGTTTGAAGAAAGACACTATAAGATCAAGTGTGTTCCAAACCTTAGGTATGCACATTAAATTATATTATGTATTTTTGTCATCAAAATAAGTAAGAAGAGTGAGGCATATTTAGGCCAAATTTAGACAAAAAGTCACATCCATCTTAATAATTATTTTTCAGTATTTCAATATTTTGGAAGTAATTTTTCAAAATACATTTGATGAGGATATTATTTTTCTTTTAGACAGTTTATGCAGCTATTTCAGAAACAAGTTTCTTTTTTTTTTTTTTACAAGCCTACACTTTTAAGGAATGATTTTACAGTTTCAGGCAGTCCGTGCTTTCATGAAAACTTCATTTGTTTTTTTTTAAATAAATATCCAACGACACCCCCAGAAAATCTGTACTGAAAATATCCAATGCAGATATGCAATATGTTTGACTTATAGTGTCTGGGGTCTTCATTCTACCACCAACAGTATTCTCACAAATTCCCCAGACCAGCTTTACAGTTCTAAAATAAAGGTTAAGTTGGCATTTATTTTTATTTGAAAGTTTGCAGCATATTAGTAATATGATGGAGTACATCCTCAAAACTGTGCTGCAGAAATTTCAAGTTAGAAGACATAAAATTGAGTAGAATTTAGTTACAGCATACCAACTAGAATTCATTTTACCAAGCTACTGTAGCTAAGGAGGAGACGAACCCAATTTTGCCACCCTGCAACATTTTCCATTTCCCCTTTTAAAATGCAGTTCCCTGGAGAAACACTCTCCACAATGTCCCTGCCTTTGCATTAAAGCCTTGTTTTCCCTTTGTTACTTACTATTTCTCTAGGTTGCTGAGCCAAAATGGCGAAGGTAGAGAGACGATCACATAAGCATTTCGTATGGGATGCATCGGTAAGCACAGTTTTACATCCCTGGGTGGACCACGTTCCCAAAGACTCGTTCCTGCAAAGGGGGGGGTGGGGGGGAGATCGGGATAAATACGCCTGACGGCCAAATCCGTAAAGAAGAAAATGCAGTTTAATTGAGAGAATCGTCTACTGTAATTCCCGTTCAGGAAAAAAAAAAAAATCTACTTGTTGTTGAACAGAACGTAATTTAGATGCATCTCCAGTAATGCAAAGCGAGAGTGTTTGCAAAAAGCAAGCAGGCGGGTGCAGCGTGCAAAGAGCTGTCCAGCGCCGGAGGTGCTGAAACCGGGACTAGCTCTGTCCAGCCCTCTGTGAGGAACAGCGGCGGCGGTGGCAGCACAAGCAGCCGCCAGAGCGTTGGCAGCCACTTCCTATGCTCATCGGATCGTTTCAAACACTCAGAGTGTAAAGAGGCTTTTCAGATTTTCATACCAGCTCTGATTCTCGTCCTGTATTTTTGGATCGTGAATGCTGGCTTTTAAAATGCGGATTTCTCTGAAAAGCCTGCCTAAAAGGTTATATAGCTTGGGTTGGGTGATAGGATCTTTTCCGCTGCTGGTTAGGGATTTTTTCCTCCCTTTAGAATTAGCTGCTGTGAAAATTTCACCCTGGAAACGGGAAGCAGCAGCAGCGGCATCAGCTGGTTACGACTCTCATTGCCTTTGCCCGGTATCCAGGGGAGGGGTAGGTTTCAGACATAAGCTTCCCACTCCACACTTCATTCAGCCCAACACGCCTCTGAAGCCCTTGACATTTTTTCTCCTGACCCGCGTCTCTGCCCTGGAGTAGAAACATTAAGCTAACACCAAGTCTGCTAGGACATTTGGAGGAATCACCCTACCCCAAAGTCCGGTAGGAAGGGGGAAAGAGGGCCTGCTTCAATTTTCTCTTTGGTATAGCCATTCAAATTTCTAAAGCATATGGTTTATTTCCCACCCCAGCAGAACAATAAAAATGGTATCAACCTACACTTTCTTAGTAGGGGGGGTAAGATGGGGGAGAGCCTTCCCACCCCCAGCTGAACTACTCTACAGGAAGAGGAAGAAAAAAAAAAAGCTAGAGAGTCCAACCAATCAACTTTATTAGCATTACACGTGTTATATGCTGAATGCACCAATTTTCACCTCTCCTCCCCCTGGTATGGAAACTCTCCAACTAGCAAAACCTGTGTATGTGTGTGTTTTAATTTCAAACCACATTATTATCTGTGTTAATAATTACTCTAAAATTTGAAGCGAATAACACATAATTTTGAATGTGGTACTTTTGATTTCACCTACTCCATCCTTGAACGCCTAAAGCTATTGGGTTAAATATGCATGCAGTCTATTTCTGAGATATTTCAATGAGAGAGGCTTCTCTGTGACAGCTGGACTTCCAAGTTGAGCTACAGAATATAATTCACACTATCCTTTTTGGTATCTAGAAGCAATGTTTTCAATATATGTCATTTTGTATCATTAATATTCATGACTCAAAATAATCTTAATTATAAATTCTTTTTTTATTTATTTTTTTAAAGATTTTATTTATTTATTTGAGAGAGAGAGAATGAGAGATAGAGAGCATGACAGGGAAAAGGGTCAGAGGGATAAGCAGACTCCCTGCTGAGCAGGGAGCCTGATGTGGGACTCTATCCCAAGACTCCAGGATCATGACCTGAGCCAAAGACAGTCACTTAACCAACTGAGCCACCCAGGCGCCCTTAATTATAAATTCTTTTAAGAAGGAATACACTGTATTTGAGAGGGACCACATAAAAAATTAAGCTCACCTAAATACTTTTAAGTATTATCAATTCAAAATTAGGAGGTCTCTTTTCTTTCTCATGATGTCATGCAGCTATGTCAAATTTAAAAATATGTATCAGTTATACCTTCAACCCACTGCAACAGTATTAAATTCCACTTCTACCTAACCATAGCAGCCCTTCAATTTATTTCATTAGCTGTCTCTTATCTTCTTGAGACAAACAGTTAAGGCCAAATGAAAAACATTTAGCTTAGTTGATTAAAGTTTAAAGAAAAAAGATATAGTTAAGAGAACCTGACATGTTTTAAAACACAACATCTGCATTTTTCATCCTGGATGGCAGCTCTACTTTAATGTAGTATCTGTGCTTTCAAGATGGAGTCTAGTACTTAAACTTTTCACATTATGTAGCTATGATCAATAAACCAATTTAAAGTCTTAATAAGGAATAAAAACTTTACTGGAAATAAGACCTCATATGAGACAAAATTATGTATTTATATCCAGATAATTAAGAAAATGTTAGCATCACTAAACATCGACTACCAGATATTAAGTCTATGTTCAATAGAATGATGCTGGACTCTGAAGATCATGTAAATTTTACATGACATCTTCAGAAAAGTAGGTCAATTTACTTTGTTTGTACAATGATTGCATTGCTGACCTGACCCAGCCTTGGGCAAAACTGGAAAGTGATACTGGTTTCCCCAAGCATGAAATGCTCCAAATCTCACTGGGCCCCTTTCCATGTGTACCTTCCTGAGGCTACATAGTCTATGTCCCTACCTTTCTTTGGGATTATTATTGCTTTGTTGACTTTATCTGATTAAATAAATAAATAAATAAATAAATAAATAAATAAATAAATAATATGAGTGAGTATAGTGTGATGTACTCTTCTCAGTTTAAAACAAGGTATAAAACACAAAATAATGTATCTGATAGGAGAACATCAGAATTTGGAGCAGATGAATAGCAGAGAAGATCTTGAAAGGTAAGCGGGTAACTACCAACTTCTACATTTGGTCCATCCCAAGAGCTGAGCAATAAACACAATACCATTTCTCAAGCTATATTTTATATTGTTTCATAAAACCTCTTAACATTTTAAAACCATATAAACTCTTATAATTAGTTTCTAAATCACCATACATGTCACTATTATTACAAGACCTATAGTATGTGTCATCTGTATTTTCCAACACTTCATAGCTTATTGCTACTGTACAAAATTCTTTGAAAGCATGATACACATGTCTGATTGATTTCAGGGAGCTCTTGTAAAGCAAACAGATATTTGATAGAGCTAATGTGAAGCAAAACAACTTTCCCAGTCTGCAAAGAACAAGGTTTTCAAAAATGTGGACAGCATATTGCAGCAGTCATATTATTCTTCCAATGTCACAGTTTTTTGCATGCTATGATTAATGGTGTATCTGTGAATTATTTTTAGTTATTAAGTCTAGGTTGTCATTAATAAGGCAAACATATACAACGAAATATGTAGGAACATTAAAGTTATAATAAGAATAACAGACTGACAATGTCAGAAGAGAACACAGAATGATGATACAGATATACACATTATACTGAAAAATCACATATTTCTTTTTCACAATTATCTTTTCTGGGCATTAAAATTTATTTCAAATAGTTTTCAAAAATAACTAGGCCAGCAGAAATTCCATACAGCCAGCACATTATTTGTTGGTTACACCTACATTCACTCATGTTAGCTGTTAGCTGTCATCTGTACTTCTTCTCCTTCTTCCTATTATTAGGCTGGCTAAAAGAAGAAGAGTCTGCCTATCCCAAGTATTCAAAAGTACATACCCACAAGCACAGAATTTTGTGAAAATGTGAGACACAAAATCTATTACTTTCTAGCTTAATGTTTATTTGAGGCCTTTCTCCAATTTCCTAACAGTCTATCTGATTTCTTTCTGGATCGGAGTATATCATTGGGTTCCTGATTCCATGGGGGCTTTAAATAATATAGCATGTGGCTATATTTTCTAGTATTTAAGATTACAGAAAAAAATTATCTGTTCTTTTTCACAAAAAGTTGTTTAGTAAAATCTGAAAGCTAAAGCTTACAGTGACACATTTTAAAACTGTTCTAAGAAATCAAACTTTTATCTTTTGAAATACCAATACAAACAGATATTTCACTTGAATCATTCTTTTATAAAACTGTCTATTCTGTTTCATGATAAATCAATGTGTATTTATTATGAATAAGTTATACACCTTAGGAGGTTTATTATCTTAGAATATTAACAGCTCATTTATTCAAAATCAAAATAACTACAATGGCAATTCAAAACATTTACACACAATTTCTGAATACACTATTCTTACCATATGTGTATACTGAAATAAAGTGATAATAGTTACTAATTTCTAAAAACTAGGTGAATCTATACTATTTTTAATGTATAGGTTACACCCAAGTAAATGATATCTATATGGCTCTCGGTGTAAATTATTCCCATAGTACAGAAAATTTTAGAGTACAAATGAGCAAATGTTCTCAATTTTGAGCTGAAACAGTATTTGAGGGTAATTTCGACTTCTTAGGACATTGCAAATATTGCAAATATTGTTATCTCTAGCAACTGTTACTATGTCAAAACACAGTGAATAAAAAATTAGAAAGTTTGGTAGAAGTAACCTTGGTGAGCATCTAGCCCATTGGTTTTCTACACTTGATTACATTAAAGTTACCTGGAGACCTTTAAAAATTAAGCCCTGAGGGGTAGGTCATGGGCATTATTACTTTCCTAATGCTCCCCAGATGATTCTGTGTACAGCCAGGGTTGAGAATCACTGATCTATCCTAACCACTTAATTTTATAGATAAGAAAAGTGAAGTACGGTGAATTTAGGAGACTTGTTTTAAGTCAGAGTGAGAAGCAAAGTTGGGCTTCTTACTTCCATACTAGAAGTTTTCAATGCTAAGTTTTAACTGCAATCTCTTTTAAAACAGAATGTAACATGTCCTATGAAGTTGTAAGAATATCTGAATGTCATATATACACTTGCAACCACCGTGGCACTAGTATCACAATTTTAGCAAACTGAGTTATCAATGAATAAAGTTAGTAGAAGGTAGGTAGATTGTCATACTGTATTGTTTATATCCTATATTTAAGTAATATATCCTATGATGCATTAAAGAAAAACATTGATTTTATTCCAATTTTTCATGACATAAAACATCTCCTGTCTCTTTAGTGAGATCATTTACTGCTCTGGATGATACAAAAGCTTAAATTC